GAGAGAGAGAGAGAGAGAGAGAGAGAGAGAGAGAGAGAGAGAGAGAGAGAGAGAGAGAGAGAGAGAGAGAGAGAGAGAGAGATTCCAATTGCACCGGTGAACCTCCTCAGAAGAGGAGAATAGACGTGGGTTCCACATACATTGCAATCGGGTAGATGGAAAAGAGGCAGCTCCAGCAATTGGGCGCTGCAAGAAAAAGACAAGTGACGATGAGAGCTAATAACCATGCACACCCCCACCGACACTGTAACGCAGTCACTTAAAAAAAAAAGCATACTCTTACACTTTTCTATTTAACTTTGCGAGCAATAAAACAAGGGAAGGAAAAAGGGAAGGAAGCCAAGGATGCTGCTCACCACCGACACCCAAAATATAATTGCGTACCTTTTTATTTCAAGAAGACACTGCTTCTGCTGCCCTCACCACCTGCTGACTAAATGATCAATTTCCAAAAATTAATCAATCCCTCAATTACTCCATTCCCAACGACGCTATTCTAACGACAAACCTCATTCTCTACTTTTCTTCTTACTGCCTTACGACTTCATCCATCCTCACACTTCCACAAACTCTACACTCCACCTTTCTTCCTCTCTACACAACACATCGTCATGTTCATACTCTCCCTCTGGCGGCCGCCAGGCTCTTAGGCCTCAGAAAGATTCCCTGTCAAGTCAACATTCGAGCGAAAATTCTAGTGCCCAAATATGCTGAGCGAAAATTCTAGTGCCCAAATACGCTGAGCATCCAATTTCCTGATTACTGACACCCGAGGGATAACTGATTGTGTATACCAGGTCGATAGCTTGCACCAGATGAAGAGCGCGATGGATGGAGGAGAACCCACAAAGGAAGGAGATGCAAACTGCAGGCAAGTAAAGAAGGGAAGCCGTGTACGCGGGAAGAGGAGAAAGGTGACGGCTGTTCTGGAGGTGAATCTCAATCGTATGGTACTAGGAAGAGAGAGAAATCTGCGTGTGTGTGGGTGTGTGAGTGTGAGACAGGAGGAGGAGCGGGACTGCAGGCGCGGTGGACTGGGAGCACGAAAGATTCCCAGCAGGAGGGTAATCAACGCGAAGGAGAAAGCGAAGAAGGAACATGAAGGAGGGCACTTTACGGCTGTGTCAGTCTGTACGTCTGTGTGGGCGCGCGTGTTTGCGTGTTTGTGTGTGTTGTCATATTCGCTACACACAACAAACGCACGACTGTGCCACACTGATTCGTCGGACTTTCACCGACTCATCATGAGGTCTGTATGTGTGTCTATTTGTGTGTTTGTGTGTGTGTGTCTGTGTCTGTGTTTGTGTGTGTCTGTGTGTATGTGTGTGTGTGTGTGTGTGTGTGTGTGAGAGAGAGAGAGAGAGAGAGAGAGAGAGAGAGAGAGAGAGAGAGAGAGAGAGAGAGAGANGAGAGAGAGAGAGAGAGAGAGAGAGAGAGAGAGAGAGAGAGAGAGAGAGAGAGAGAGAGAGAGAAACAAAGAGACGAGTTGAGCACAGAATGGCGATAGGTAAATAATAATAAAGGTGAAGGAGAACGCGCAAAAGGTAAGGGGGACGGCTACAGCCGCAGAATCCACCACGGTGAAGTATTATTTCACAGGCGACTAAAAGAGACAGCGCAAGCATCCGCCCTGAACAGAGGGCGGTATAATCCCCCATTACAGAGAATAACAAGGGGGAGCAAAAGAGGAGAAGACGGATGCTGACGCTGGACGATGACGGAGATTATTTACCAAAAAATGGGAAATTAAAAGAGCAGGGAAACGACGAAGAACATAAGACAATTACGACGATGCGTCATCATTTTGACAACTAACGTGGACGAACTGTTAATCAGCGACCAATTAAGGAATTGAACCAAAAAAAACAAAAGACACCTGCCTTAGCTCGGAAAGTAGGTTTGCACCTACTCCTCCTTCGGCTTCTTCTGCCTTCGCGAATTGAAATACCTTCCTTGCCTGCGGAAATGAGATCAACTAGATGCTGGAAACTTAGTCGATTTTCGAGAACGCTGTTATCACCCACCGGCGGCTCCTTCTCGGCTCCATCAATCCCTCTTCGCGCCAACGGAGTGCCGTCAACCATTCTGCTATCATTTCCTCCTTAGCGAATCAACCCCCTTCCTTAACCTATTTTATACCCATTTGACCCGCCCCCGCCCTCCCCTTTTCCCGACTCAATTTGCTAGGTTCTCAATCATCGCCACCAGTCTACCACCTCCTTCTCCTCCCTCACGCAGCTCATCCCACATGTGCGGACACAGGGTTTGCCTCAGCACACCCTCTCTTTCTCTCTCTCCTCTCTCTCTCTCTCTCTCTCGCTCTCGCTCGCTCGCTCGCTCGCTCGCTCCCCCTCCCCCCAACGCCCACTCTACCGGCACACGCACACACGAACGCGAAACGCAAAGAAAAACTCACACGTGGGGCCAATAGCTTGCTTTTTATTACATGCGGTGCGGCGCAACGGAGTCCCTGGCTGGCTTAGCCCTGACGACGAAACACGTGCCTTTAGTCCAAGGGCCCTGGACAATTAATCCAAGTATATCTACGACGGTAACCGAACATCCTTATTCCTGTCATGCACCCACCCACTCAAACGCTCGCTCCTAGTCACAATCTTTTCCCAAGCCTCTTTAGTCGATGGCCTGGCCTATCCCCAAATCGCGGAGACGTTTTCGCCGACACATTCCCCCTTCGAAAGCTACAAGCACATGCTCTCTCTCTCTCTCTCTCTCTCTCTCTCTCTCTCTCTCTCTCTCTCTCTCTCTCTCTCTCTCTCTCTCTCTCTCCTCCACCGCCCCCGCTTTTTGGCCAGCGCACGCACACGCACACACATTAGCACGCGCTCTCATGCCTCCATTCTCTCTCCGCTCCCCCGGAGTTTCGTTCGTCTTCCATGTTGCTCACTGGCATTTCCCATCTCTCATCTCCTCAATAAGGAGAACCCTGGCATGCCATAAGAGGCTGATCGACCCATCCATCACCCCTGCACGCGGACCTGCACGCCGAGCACCGTTTCCGGAGAGAAATTCGGCGCTATAAGACTCACGTGTTGCCACGTCAAATCCCACATGGACATTTGGGACTGTTGTGTAATTCCGCTTCCTCCATCTCCGCTCTCTATCCCTGTCCCTCCTCCTCCTCCTCCTCCCGCCACCACGGGTAATAGCACCTGTCTACTATGCATTACAAGCAGCATGTTCTTGAGCAGCTCCGGAATGTTCTCCGCTAACTGTTCGTACAGCAACCCCCCTCTCCTTCCCTGTGACGTCGCCAGCCTCATATACCTTTCCATCCTCTCTAGCACCGCCAACCACAGCGGTTGAAAACCTGGCGACCCCGCCAAGTGGTGCAAAAAATGCAAAAATATCCTCGACAAGAGCGCCATTGCCTTTCTTAGCGTCGCTTCCATTCCTCTGTACTCCTTGGGTGACTGTCCCTGGGCTATGTCCAGCAACTCGTCCAGCACAGGGAAGACCACTTGATCGAACGCCGGCCCGCAAAGCACAGGCATGGGCACGATGGCATCCGCCGCCAGCAGGGACCTCTGCAAGCAGAGAAGAGCGTGGTCGCGGACATCCTCCCTAGGCTCGATGCACACAAGCCGCACTCCACGCACAAGTCGAGTCCAGAAGTCGAGCAACTCCTTCCGCCCAGCTTCTTGAATGTATGCCGCGTCGTCGGCCCCCAGCCCCGCCCCGCCTCCGCCATACCCCGCCCCCCCCCCCCCCATAGTTCCTCCTAAGCCGCCGCTCCCGCCATCTCCCAGTGCCGTGGCCCACCGTGTCAGGTTACCTACCAGCCCTCCGACAAGAGTGAGCGCGCGCATGGAGCGATCTACTCCCCCTACCCGCGCCTCCGCGAACGCCAGCCCCGTCTCCAGACACGCCAGGAAGTTCGCCTGCGTGATGTGCGAACTGTCACTCATGATGAAGGTCAGCGCATCGAACCCCGTCTCCGCCGCGTCCGGATGGCGCGCCGTTTTCGCCAAAAGCGAGCACACGGTTCGCCATCCCATTGGCGAACGGATGTGATGAAAATTCACCTTCAGCAGCTGGAGGATATCAGAGGCAATGCGCTCGCAGAGTGAATCCGCGACCTTAGCGTCAAGGCGCAGGATGAGCTGAAGCGAGCGGAGGAGCTCCTCCGCCACCTCCTCGGACAAAGACATGAGGCGGAGACCCGTGCGCAGGAGCTCGAACACGGCTTTCTCCACGAGCGGTCCTGGGGTTAAGGACGTGGCCATTATCTTGTCCAAGTGGTCTCTCACCACCGACCAGATAAGTAGGACGCGATCCCGATTACAGAAGGTGACCTGCATGAGGAGGTCGAGACAGAGCACCGCCGTTTCTTCCTCCTCCTGAAGCGCCAGCGCGCCCCCACCCCCGCCCCCTCCGCCGCCTATGGCAGGTTTCTGAGGGCGGGGCCCCGCCGCCACCAGCGCTTTCGCCAGCTGCACCAGCGACTCTGGCGCCAACGACCTACTGCGCGTGAATATCTCCTCGACCCGGCAGGTCTCCATCGCGCGCGCCATAAATTGATAAGCCGCGATCTGGTCCTGAGTAGGGGAGTCCGTCTCGAGCGACCATAGTTGACTGAAACGCCCCATCAGGCCGCTAGATCCGGAGCGCCCCCGCGCCGGAGGAAGCACTCCGAGCGAGGAGGACGCGCCTGACGAGCCCCCCGACGACATGCTCCACCGCGTCCGATGGTTGGCGCCGCCGCCAGCGCCGCCGCCTGCGGCGCCCGACTCCGACGAGGGCGCGGGCGCCGTGCCTACGACCCCGCTGCTGTCCGGGAGCAGGACCGCGACGACGGCGGAGGACGGGCGGAGAACCGGAGAAGACGGGGAAGAGCCCGCCGCCGCTTGCTGCGGAGGAGCTTGCACAGACGACGACGAAGGCGGGGAGCTCACCCCGCCGGGCGCTCCCGCCGTCTCCTCGCTTTCCAGGAAGAAGCGCGGCAGCAACCTCAACCGGTGCAACCGCACGATACAGTCCACCAGATTCCTCCACCCCGTCCGGATGTGATCACCGTAGTTGTTGGCGATGAAGAACACCGTCTCCGCCGCCATCTTCGCCTTGCTATCTTCCACGAAGGCGAAGGCAGGCCGCTCCGCCCCCGGATTGAGCAGCGTGGTGAACTTGCAGAGCGACACCGCGAGGTTATCTATCACATCCTTCATGCAGTAATAGGCCGAGATTTTGGCAACAGCGAGGAAGCCATCGCGGCATTCGTTAAGAACGTCCTCCTCCTCCGCGTGATCAAACACCACGGATATGGCCGCAATCGCCGGCCCCCACATAATTCCAAACATATCGAGATCGAGGAGCGGCAGGTCTTCGCACGGAACGAACAGCGCCACCACTTTGCTCCGTCGGATCAAATCCACCCAGCGGCTGTACGTCATTTCCGAAGCCACTACCCCACTATCCGTTATCCTTAGCTCGTTCCGCGCGATGGAATGGTACAAATCGACCAGCAACTCCCTAGGCAGATCTTTGCCGTTGTTAATCGACTTGTTGTTTCGGATGAACTCCTCCTCTGTCATTTTCCTCCTGACCTGCCCGTTGTGCAAATCGGTGTTCAGTATGATGGCAGAATAGGAGAGCACAAAGGCGGCGTCTTTGTGCTCGAAAACGCCCTGGCAATGCTCAAAGAATCTCCCCGCAAAGGCTTCCATGATACGCTCGATCTTCTGCGCTTCTCCCGGCAGGCGAAAGCTCTCTAGGAAAGTCCGCAGAGCGGTGTCCAAGCTCATGTCGGTGAAATCGAATTCGCTCACGTACGCGTGCAACACCTTGATGTTGAAGTCATCTCTATCGCCGAAGTACTCTCCGAGAAGGTTCTTATCCAATCCTGGAGTGTAGCGGAAGAAGCAAGCAACGCTCTTCGGGTCCAGTTCCGCGGGCAGCAGCCGCTGACCCTGCAGAAATTCCAGCCCTTTCTTCGGGTCCCGATTGAAATGATCCGCACCGATCATCAGCCGCCGCTTTATGAACTTCTGCCGACGAAGGAACTCTACCCATACCCCAGCGTCTTCGCAATCAGCGCACCGATCCTTCCAAAACTGAGTGTATTCCTTAACCTCTCCTCCGTCTCCTCCTCCTCTTCCTCCTTTACTCCCTCCAGTTCTCGTTGGCGAGGAGACAGTTGACAGAGAAGCAGACACCGCACATTCAGGCGCGCCTGCGAGTGCCACGCGCGACAGGGAAGACACAGAGGACGAGGAGGACGTGGAATAGATAGATGACAAATAAGACGCGTCCAGAGGACCGCCGTTAGAGTCCGCCCCTGCCGCCATCGCCGTCCGTCTGGCTATGGCATGCACCACCGCCAGAAGACCCTCTAGCGACAACACGTTCACCGCAGAGAGGGGAGAATTCACGGGAAAAGCATTCTTGCTCAGAAGATTGGACAAGTCCTCGAAAGTGTTCTCGCACATTATGTCACAATCCATATTCGCATAGAGATCTGGCATGAAGGTCGGTTGCCGGCACAAGTCCACTAAGGCTTCAATTGCCACTTCCTGCTGTTCGTAAGAGCAGAGCTTGCCCTGCGCTAGAGGGATCAGCACGAATTCGAACGCCGCCTCCAGCTGAAGTTTCAAATGCCGCCTCAGATGGCGATACAGGCTCAGGATGATGCCGCAGACAAGCGAGAGGAGGGAGAGATTCTGGGAGAGTCCCATTTGCATGAGGTTCCGGAACAATTCGTCTTGCACAAGTGCCAAGAGTCTCGGATGTCTGGCGAAGTTCGATCCGCCGACCTCCAGGGCACTATTAATGAGCGCCAGACCGAATAAGGACATGTCTTCTGGATCGTGGAGGGCGGCCATCTGCGACCCCGGGGGACCTAGGGTTCTCAGCTCCCCATCATTCAGGCTGACGAGAGAGCACAGGAACTGAAACACCTCCACCAAACAGGAGACTCCATAAGGTGGTGGGACCTCCATTTTTCCCGAAGACTGTTCCTCAACCCGCTCGGACCCTCCATCGCCTCCTCCTACCCCATCCCCTCCCTCGGCAGACGGTTCGGCGCCCACAGGTGTGTCCCCTCCCGACCATACGAACCCCCCGCCTCCTACACCTCCTTCTCCTCCTCCTCCTCCGGCTGCTGCTGCTGCTGCTGCTGCTGGTCCTCCGCCAGCAGCTCCGCCTTCCTTCCTCCCGGCGACGCCAAAGCTCTCGCCTACAGCACCCCCTGCTCCTCCGTCGCCGTGGCTGACGGTTCCATTCTCCTCCCCTCGCGCACCGCCCCCTTCCTCCCCTCTCTCACTCGCGACGCCCCCTCCCCCTGGCCCAGATTCCACGTTCCGCGTCCCCTTCTTCACCCTGTAAACCGCCGCCCCGTCCACCCGCCGCGCCATTCTCTCTCTCTCCCCCCCGCGTCCGAACGACACGGAACCCTTGGCGGAACCCCCCGATATCCCTCGCCCGTCCACTTCTGGCAAGTACGCCAATCTCCCGAAGATCGCCCTTATCATCTCTTGCATTATGTGGCACGACATCCTCTGCAGCAGCTCGCCTTTCGTCACGGATTGATGTACCACGCGGAAACACGTGTTTATCACGTTGCACACATCGCGTTCGGTGATCAGAGCGCCCGCGCGGCATTTCAGGCACGAGAGGAGCACCTGCAGGATCTTGATGAGCACCACCTCCTCCGATGCCGGGTCCGTCACTTCGAATCGGCAGCCCGTCACGGCGTCCACGATAAGGTGCATGGCCCCAGCAGCATCGAGGCTGTTCGCGTCGAAGATCTCTATGGACAGGATCTTGTAGACAGCTGAGAGCGCGACGCTGGTTATGGGCGCACTGGTTTCGGGGGAGCGGATCACTTCCAGAAAAGCAATAAGGTAGCGAGGAGGACTCACCTGATTCCAATCCTGCCACGAGAATATCTCTTTCCTCAACAGTTTGAAACTGAGCAGAAGGGGGTCGTCCGCAGAATCGTCCTCGGAGAAACGAGTCGCCGCCCAGCGGGTATTCTGCCGCATCACCGCTACCACGGCTTGGATCTCCGCATTCACCATGCACGCCACGCTTCCCGCGCATTCCAGCTTCATACTGCCAAACCCACCACCATCTCGCCATCTGCCCTCCCCTCCTCCTTCGCCAAGTCGCGGCCCCATCATGAACAAGGGTACACGAGTCTAAATATAGAATACCCGAGTTCGCGCACAACTGGGCGGCGAGAAGGGGCGCGGGAGAAATGAGAAGAGAGGCGCGATGCTCCAACAGTCAGGACGATGAAATTTCCCGCCCTTATCTATATTTCCCGCCCTTATCTATACTCTCACCCGTCCCCGCTCGAGGAATTTACGCTCCACACCAATTCGTTCCACTGCCCCCACACCTTCCTCTTCCTCTCCCTCCTCGCCCGACGCTGCCGACGATTTGTCTACAACGGTATCAATAAACCGGACGTCCCAAATATACCGCGATGGCGCGTCGCCTCAACCACGTGGGTGGTAAGCTGCATGAAGTAGCACAATGCGAAGGCGTCGTTGTTTTCCCCATATCATTCTTCTTTCGTCAGTGAGCATTCTGATTTCGTGAGTGAGCTGCGCATAGAGGGGGAAAATTCACCGGAAGCGCTCCCACCCAACCCCCTACCTCACCCCACCGCCCACAGCTTCGTCATGCTTACCTGCAGGGGAGTAGTACGGAAACCCGGCGATACAAAAAACTCCTCCTCCTCCTCCTATCTCCGGTGGTATTTGCAGCACTTTATTCGTCTCTCCGGATGATAAATGTCGACGACGGATACAGACATACGTTTTTCGCGTGAGCGTTCTCCCACCGTTCGATCTGTCAGCGGCCCCCCGGACATGCCACGTGGAAGCGGCCGAGTTCCCCCGATACCGCCAAACGCGCCCCGGTTTCCATCAAATCGACTGCCAGCTTGCCCCAAGCTTCGACGCACGCCCCCGTTTCTGGGGTACCACCGATTCGGCGGAGGACTACGCCTTACTTTGCCCGCATGAGCCAGCAAACGGACAAAACCCGCGAGCAAGCAAGAGGAGGCTTCTGCGGACGGCTTTCTCAGTCGCCCCTTAGTTTGATTGCTGGTTCTTCTTTGGGCTCTCCTCTGTGCGGCCCAGCTCGGCTCTCTGCGCGATGAGGATGCCTGTATCCGCGAACAGGAGCCCAAAAGGGAGAGTAGGTATAGGGAATGTTCTCGAGAAGCGGGCGGCTGCAGAGTGTCAAAGACTCCACGCAGTGCATAAATTTAGGACCACTCAAACGCTGGAATGCGCCACCGCCCGCTCTATACGACCACGGACACCGTCACGACCGAGTCAATTGGCTGATCGACTTACCGTGAGGGCGTGGGTGCAGAACCCGTAGGCTGCACTGCGGTTAGGGTGTGAACACCGCAAATCAGTGTCAACCCAGTTGTGGTTGCCAGCCAGACTCCAATTCATGTTGACTTACCATCCAGCGGCAGTAGCTCAGTTGGTTAGGCAGGCAAGTGGCATCCAGGAGGTTGTGGGTTCAAGCCCTAGGATGGCTTTAATCACCGCTACCTTTGTCATATGTGGGGCCGCGGGTCTCAAATTCAAATTCGGCCGCAATGCGCCGTCGACGAGAATTATCAACGGCGGCGCGGCGGCTATTTTTCAGGAGTAGGTTACTAGATGCCCGCGGCCAACATATGGGGAAGGTAGCGGTGGTTACACCACCAGTACTTGGCCCAGCTATTGATGCTGAGCCGGGATACCCCCTGCGCGGCAAGTTTTGCCGGCCGCCGGGGCACCGTTTCGTTTTCATTTTGGCTGGCGCTTCCAGCCATTGCGGTTCGGTGCCCCGAGGCGCGCAACTACCTGCGCGTTAACGGGAATCGCCCGCGACCGATAGTTGGGCCAAGTACTGGTGGTTTAAAGCTAATTCTTGTTTTTTTTTAACCAAAAAATCTGATTGTTTTATTTATTTATTTTTACCAACAAAGGGCCCTTATAGGGCTTCGTATTAAAACTCAGAGGAGGAGAGTCCGAGGACCTCACAATTCAGCCCAAAGTTATCATGGGAGCATTACCCAGTTTAGCTTACGAGTCGAAGCTCGCTAGGAAGAAGAATATCTAGGAACAAAAGGGGCCAATTTTGGATCGTTGTCCTGAAACCTTTGTCCTGTAAACAAGTATACGCCACAGGCCAACAAAGCCACACAAACCAAGACTAAGAAAAACGCATGCCTCATGCCATCAAAAACCACACAAACCAAAACCAACGCTTTTCTGGCAACCTACCACCCTACCAGCAAACAAACACCATCAAGCTACCTCAAACACGTACTCATCACCATCCAGTGTCTGTTGCTCTAATCTACTAGACCTCATTTCCTATTATGTTATCTAACACGACAGTTGGAACCTATAATGGGACTGGAGCAAGAACCAATGTACTCCCTCCGCTAACTGGTGTCGAAATGCCTTCCTCCTTTGGATATATAGAATCAAGTACCAGGTTCCTACTCTACCCTACATTACCAAACACCTCTCGCCTACAGATTATACTACTCCCCCCAAAACCACATATTCAGAACTAAAGTATCGCTTGACAACTTTGTTAGTTTTCTCCCAGTGCCCCAGGTTTTGCCAGACCATGTACTCGTTGAGCACTTTCATTTTCTTCTCCAATCCGCCTGAATCGGGTGTCTCAGTGAAGATCTGAACATTTTCCTGGTCTCCTTGTCAGACATCTCCCTATCCTCAAAGATCCGTAGGTTCCTTCCTTTCCACTGCAGATCACCTCACACCCTACAACTCTGGCCGCTTGGGTTATGTAGGCCCGACCCTTTTTTAAATCCAGATTTGTTGAAACTTCAACCAATAACACCCACTCCCTGTCCCATGACAAACTGCTGCCGGAAATGCTTTCCCATAAATTTTGCCACCAGTCCCATATTTTTTTGGTCACTGGGCAATCGTACCACATGTGGGTGGTTGACTCATATGGCCATGGACATCTTATATATTTAAGATTAACTGACAGACCTCTTTGCATCAAATTAACCGCCAAAGGTGTTGCGATCAAGGACAGTAGTTACAGATTAGCAACAATTTGCAGTTTCGGAGTTACCGCTAATTGTTTCCAACGACGGGATATATTTCATTCTAATTGGGCGATGGCCACGTCTAGCAGGGTGCAGGAGGCTTTCTGAGCAGTGTACCCTTGGGCGACTGTATAACTTGTCAGTGGTAGGTCCTCTCCTCCTACACCTTACCCTTTCCACCCCCACATCTTAGGATCTAGCGTCAACTGAGTTATTACGGATCTATGCGCAAAAACATAGTAGGTCAAGTTTCGCTCCTCATCGCACGTCTCCCAAACTCTTATCTGGGACAGTAATGCTCCTAGTGGGGGGTGTGGGGGATCCTCCAGCTGAACCAACATGTTTGGTTTATCTGGTTTGATCCCTTCCTAGCATTGGAAATCATGTTTCTCATCTGGGTTGAAGCCCCCTCAACGCTGAGGGTGTTAGCCATTCCAAATGTTTGCAGCTCTAAGGACGCCCTTCTCGATCCAACTCCTGACGAAGTTGTTTCGAGTAGTGTCGTCAGAGAACCATTTGCCGCCTAACTTCCGAATTTGAGGATTATCGAACAGTAGTTGCAGGAGGACCTCTGTTTTCGTCACAGGTTGGAGCCATGAGTTTGGTCTCAACTTCTTTCAAGTGTCAATTACTGCTCTCCAGAACCCTGATCGAATGATTTTGTTTTGATATAAGTGTAGGAGGAGACAAGTCCAGATATCTGAGGGATGCAACATGTTCCACTCGGAAACCAAAATTTCCTCCGCCATTGAGATCCAATGAGCTTCTTCGGATTTGGCTCACTCGGAGGAGACAAGTTCAGACATCTTTGACGAAGGGTTTCCAAACGAATCTGGTTGAGCGTCTACGGATATGGGAACACGAGTTCTTGCTCAATGGGCGGGCAATCACTACAGACCATAGTAGAGTGAAAACGGCACCATTGATGACCATCACAGGACCTACAATGGATAGATGAGGGGGTTTTCCCCAAGTTGAGATACACTGCATGCCGCAGTTCACTGTCGAGGCAAGTGGGTTTGGGAGGAAAAAAACTGTTTTTGATCAATTTATAGAGGTTTCCGATAATTCAAAATAGTCATTTAGGTAAGATTTTAAAGCATTCATGGAAGACGCCGAGTTCTCTGAGATAGCGAACAAATCATCCGCAAGGGCTTTAGCCTTCCACTGAGAGTTGCCTGTAGTAGAACCGTGAATTTGTGGGTGCATCATAATATTACATAGTAGGTTCTCCATTTGGAGGACAAATAGAAAGGATGCCCCCAGGCGCAGTGATCTGGTTAAGGTGAAGAGTTCCAACAGTTTCTCATTCACTATAATTGACGTTGTAGATAAGGAGTATAGTGCAAACACCCAGTTACAGAGATTCTCACCAAAGCCTAAGTATTTCAGGGTAGTCAGGACATAAGTCCAGTTAACCCTGCCATAGGCTTTTTCCAAGTCAAGCATTAAAATAGAGATGTCTGCCTACAAATTTTCTACAATTTATAGAGTTTCAAACGCTGTTACTATATTATCAAATATAGAACGACCTTAAATGAAAGCAGCTTGGTCCTTATCCAGTAAGATGGTAAGTACCGACCCAGTCGCCTGACTAGGATCTCAGCAAATATGAGGCATTTAAAATCGATATTGGACATCAGTTCCTGATTTCGGAGTGATCACCTTTTGTATACAACAGCGAGATAATACCATTCCTCATTCGTTTTGAGAGGTTCTCTCCCAACAGGACCTGATTATAAATATCAATCAAATCCCCTCTGATAACATGCCATATTAATAAATACAGCTTCACTGAGAGACCATCGTCTCTAGGGGCATTCCCTTCTGTCATGGAGTGTAAGGCTTCTATTGCTTCCTCCTCTCTTACATGGCGGTCCTGGTCCAACTTTCCATGTATTGGGAGCCTTGTAGTGAAGTTTGTCCAATGACATGATTGTTCAGCTGGGTCGGTAGTAATATCTTTCTTTGGGCGCAGAGTAGTTAATATATCCTGATAATATAGTGTTGCCTAGGAACACAGTTGAGATTGTTCCCACGCAATCGAAAACTCGTGATCGAAGGGATGCATAAGTTCACTCATGGGATGTGTCAGTCTTTTTGGGAGTAACCTCTGGAAGAATTCGCTCGGCATTCGGTCGTACACGGCAACGCCTTTAACTTTCAAACACTCGGCCCAGATCTCGGACTGTTCCTATTGGTATGCGTCCCACTCCGCAATATGCTTCGCCGTAATTTGGCTCCATACC